TAATAACTTCATAAAATTTTAATGTCTATACTTGCAATAATCAAGTAGATCCAAATGGAGGCACATGGCTAGTCATAGGGTACTAGAAAGCAGACAAGTAAAGTTGATCTTGATCATCTTTCTTATCTCTGAAATGACCTCTATCTTCCCAGCTTAATTTTTCTCCCTAACCTGAACAGCTGAACACATTTTGAAACTAGTCAATGAACTGTAGGCACCTTCAGATTTTATTTTACAATAAATAGGTAAGGTATCCTAATACAATAAAGTTTATCCTAGAAACTAATACATCTGTGAAATGGAGCATTATATGAATGTTAAAACTAAAATTTATATGCAAAAGTTGCATGGGGCAGAAGTGTGATGGGCTGCACAGGAAATGTTTGTAACCTCATTTAATTATTGTTTGATTGATTGATTTCTACCTCTTGGAATAAAAATACACTTGGCAGGTAACATAAACATCAGATTTGTTCTAGATGGTTTCAAACATGTAAACCAACCATTTGCATCTCTGCTTGGATTCATAGTTAATATCCCCAAAACATTGTTCAATGAATCAAAGATTAGCATTTACATTTAAAAAGTGTACTGTTTGGCAGCTCTTACTTTTTACTTCTATCTCTTTCAATCTGACTAGCTTTTCCATTAGTTGATCTCAGCAAAATGTATGCCCTCAGAAAAATGTATTCTCTAACTTTTTATTAATGCCAGACTTGTCCAAGTCGCTATATATTGCCAATCATGAGAGTCCTTATAAAGTGCCAGCTTAAAAAAGACAAGTCATTTGTGACCATAGGAAGTTTACATTCTTGGATAAAGACTAAAAACTAAATTATTCATTTGAAAGAAAGGGTTTATTATTAGGCTTCAGTAATTCCCAAAGTTTACAGAATTCAAACAATGTTTTGAAAAACATACACACAACTACACGGAAATTAAATTTAGCATTTGGCCAAGTTGCATAAGTGTACTCTATATTGTAATAGTGCACTTTTACTATATTAAATATGTTTGTAAAAATGCATGCTGATAAAACATTTCATTCTGTGTTCTGATGAAATTTGAAAACAGTTCTTAGTTTGCATGAAGATTCCACCCCTTTTTCTTTGAGGGAAGAGGACCCTTAAGATAACTTTGCAAGGCAGAAATTCATCTAGTCCTGTGAAAGAAGTCTGCCCTATTTAACATTTTGTCTGCAAATACCAAATCACAGACTACCACATCTGTTTATTAAATATTTGCCATGGAATGCAATGTTAGTATTTTGGTGGTGCATAAATGAATATGCCGTTCTAATTGTTCTGAGCTACAAATGGCAGACATTCCTAAAAGCAAGTTGCTATTAATAACACTGTTATACATTTTCTTCTCATGATAACGCCAACAGCTGACAAGAATGCAGGCCATCTTGCCTATTTGCTTTAGTGCAGTTGCATTCCATCCACATTTTCCTCATAGCATGTTGTTCTTGAACATCCCATTTTAAGAGGTTCCCTAATTCCAAGATGGGTATCAGTTCATAATTTTGGCAAAGTTCCCTGCACTTGAGAAAGAAAGAAGTGTTTATTGCAGACCTCCTCTTTGATGCTAACAATATTTATCTTGCTGATGTTAATTTCATTTTGGTTTTAATTATTTACTGGTTGCATATATCACTGATCTTGTTCCTCGAGAATATGTCTTCTTCCTGAACAGCATTATTATTGACATAATTGTATTTACTGAATTTTCTAATTTCATTCAGTTTAACTATTACTTTATCAGATAGGTGAAACAAGGTTTGGAATATTTGTGATGCAAGGGTTGATTTAAGGATCTCAAGATAAGGTAATAGCTAATGTCTGGACTGATGCAGTTTTGTTTCATTGATTTAGATTTTTAGTTTCTGCTTGCATATAGACATGACAAATAAATAGTTGGCTTTGTATGTACTTTCAGTGTAGCGCTGCCAGTACGTACAAGTAGTTCATATTAACTTATTTCACAAATATTGTACGCTGCCCAATCAGAGGCTCTTAAAATGTTCACAAAAAAATAATATAAAACAAAAGTTTTTTTAAAAAAAAAGATAAACACTATCAAAATCAACACAAAAACCAAAGAATTAAATATAGGCTTTGTACACACTTAAGCAATGATCAGGACAATATATAACAACATTCTATCCAACAATCACCTACATTTAAGTCTAAAAAACTATGATATCCTTTTCCTCTTTCCTAAATAATATTAGAGAGTATAAGTGTTGGGGCCCAGAGCACTTGATATGATGGGGCATCCCCCAAATGCCCTTTTTCTATGATCTATGATTTTAGCAATAGCAGCAATAGCAGTAGACTTATATACCGCTTCATAGGGCTTTCAGCCCTCTCTAAGCGGTTTACAGAGAGTCAGCATATTGCCCCCAACAATCTGGGT